CGATTATGTGGGTCAGGCAGCCTTTGGGGCCAGCTTAGGTCACGTTTTGGTCAAGGTCAGGTCAAGGTCAGGTCAAGGTCAGGTCAAATTAGGTCAAATTTCAAAGTTAATATTTTTGCATAAAATGGGTATCGATTCGATGCAGCTCGTCACGGGGAGTCTAATGGTGGTCTTTGTTTTGCGCTACGAGGTCTAGAATTGCTAAAAATTGAGTTTGAAAATTTAACGTCATCAATTTGGAACAGTTTTTTCGCTATAACTTGGCCAAAAAAAAAGAGGTATCGATCTCAAATTTGGTATGTAGATAGAAGGCGGTAGGGACTATCACATATATTCCGTTTTTTCGAAATTCAAAAAACTTTTTGGATTTTTTGGCTATTATATTCAAAAAATATATTTTTTGATTTTTGGGGGTCAAAATCCCAAAAAAATTCGAAAAACCGAAATAGCAGTTTTGTAGCCCTTTTGATGCCACACCTTTTATGTCCGAAACATTTTTCTGTATCTCTAAAGCTGTAGGCCTGACAGCTCTTCCCGCGAAACCTTTTTTGGGTCGAAAATGGCAAAAATGACGTCACTCTGACGTCATTAGCGGCCAACCTATCATAGCCTTTGGAAAAATTTTTGGTCACCATGTGCGCTAGCCGCTCCCGGGAGGGTACTGAAAGTTTGGTGACGATCGGCGCAGCGGTTCTCGAGATATATTGAAAAAAAACTAAAGGGGGGGGGGGGCAAAAAATGCCCCCCCCCCCCACCGCCTGGAAGGTTAAGAAATGCATGCATCATGGTCGTGAAGTAGTCACGAGAAATTGCCAAGATTCAGTTCAAGATTTTGGAAGATGCGGAAGGATAATCAATAATCGAAGATAGCCATTTGATTGTTCATTGTATTAATGGCGTTTACGGAATGTCTGTATGTCTATTCTGTGATTTTATATGATTTTTTGAACATATGCCGTTTTTGGTCGAAAACTCAGAAATCATGACGTCACGAAAACCTCGATATCTCAAACATTTTCCAACAGATTTTTTGAAACTTTGTCACAATAAACTTCAATCAATTCCCTATAGGTACCCAACATTTGACGCGCCTGTGGCGCGCCGTTTTTTATGCTATGGCCCGGCGAAAAAAGTGGGGGCGTTTAACGCCCCCCCCCCCCAGCAACTCGCGGGTTAACGCGTGGTGGTATACACTGCTTTGCGCGCAACGTTTGCCGCAATTAAAGGATGCTAAATTATTGCTTCCAAATGAAGTTGCTAGGAACAGCGGATATCCTAAAAAGTAAACCAAAGTAAAAGTCTAATATCTTGAAAACCAGTGAATATTTTCGGTGAAAATTAGTAAATATTTTCTTTTTTGATCGTTCTGAAGATCGGGACATCGCTTTTATGCCAATTCATTAACTTTTTGAACTGGGAGGGTCCCTTTAAATTCAGCAGTCTTATGGTGTCGAACATGCGAATGCTCATGATGCACGAAGCACGATAAGCTCTTTGTTTCGGTGCTGTCTGCTCAAGGGATCTGAAGAGTTCATCTGCTCATTGACGATAGTGATACTGTATTTGTTCGCTCTAGACTCCTTTATCATAAACGTGATCATTTATAACACACATTGTGGCATGAATTTATCATTCTTGCGCAGTGCATAATACCGGGTGGCCCAGAAAAACGTTCCGAACTTTGGAGGCCTATATATCAAATACGAGTACAAATAACGAGCCAAAATTTTCATCAAGTTTGCGTCATTTCTTTGCGCATTGGTATGTCAAACTATATTACTATACCATCATTTTCAAGCTGGCAATCTTGAGTTGAATTAAGCAAGACGTTCTTGCTTTTTTTGCCGATGTCAAACGATAGTGATGATTGGGTTAGACGTCCCATGTTATAAAAAAAGAATAAAAAATAGAGCACGTGGATGACACCAACACGTATGTTCTTATTTTAAATATTTTTGTCTCACTTATGTGCCAAATATTCAAATACTGAGCCAAAATGGTGCTCATGGATGTCATTCGTTTCAACATCAAATCATCTTTCGAGCAGGAGTGGCACGGTGCATGGATTATTGCTGATTACCCTCCTTTCAGTAGATCAAACAGTAAATCGACCGGATAAGGAAAACAAACTAAAGCAGACTGGTTCCTGTGCCAGAAGACCACAGAATACCTTATGAAAAACAACATTGCCAGCAGATGACAAAAAAAAAACTGGTAGAAAAGCTACCTTTTCCCAGGAATGTCAGCCAGAGCCCTGTTCGGGCAGCGCATCCTACTGCAAAATTTTGCACCACGCATGCGCAGTAGGGGTCTCTCGGGTGCCAGGCTCCACCCTTCGGCCTATGACGTCACATATGTGACGTCGGCAAGCGCAAAATCTTTCAGTTTTGCGCAACAAGAAATAGTAGCTGCAGGAGGCGAAAGTGGCGCGAATTAAAGTTTACCGTCCTATATTTCCTATTGTAAGTGGTTTTAATGCCGTATTTTGGGTATCATTATCACTTTTTTCAGTGGCACATTGCTATTAACCACATTTGAACGCATTTTATTCAGTTTTTGAACGAAAACCACCAGTCCATCCGCGCCACGGTTCGTCACGCGTCGAATAATGCTGCCGCGGCCGCCGCGGCCCTCGGCTCTGGCGGCCCGGCGGAGAGTGGGCGGAGCCAGTGGCTGACGTCATCCAAGTGTGCCGTCACACGCTGCAAAATATTTTGCGCGGAGCCGAACAGCACTCAGGAAAGCATTTGAGCCACAAGATGGTTAGAAAACTGGAAACTTCTTCCAATGCCGCTGGCACAGAGTCATCGTGGTTGCCTGAGGGAATGTGTCATTCTGAGACCCGAACCATCAATGAGACTAGCTGCCAGTAGAAGTCATGGGTCTAGGCCGCTGTGCCGCGGGGTGAAAATGACCCGTTCACTCACATTTTTTTAGTAAACATCGGAGCAAAAAAGTAATTTTTACATGGCGTGCTTGAAATACGAACCGTTTAAAAAGTTATATACCGAACACCATGAAAATCACACCATTTACTGAAAATGTGTGCCGCATTGACTATTCGAAGTTTCAATGTTGTATCTTTATCACTTTCTGAGAAATAATGATTTAAAGTTGGGAACTTTTTTTTCTGGGCCACCCGGCCCAGAAAAAACGGCCCCCCCCCAAAAAAAACAGGGTGGCCATCCGGCCACCCGGTATATTATAAGCATATCCAGCTTCTCATCTTTGAAGTTCAGCAACCGCCTCCCGGCTTTTTTTAATACGCCCACATAGCTCAAGACGGTAGTGGAAATGTACCTTTTAACCTTCGCCCTGGTGGGGGGGGGCCATTTTGGCCCCCCCCTGTGGTTTTTCAGCGATAACTCAGAAACCACTTGAGTTAGCGCCCTGAAACTTTGTATAGCTGTTTATTCAACATTTTTACATCATGTCCTTTTTTGGGGGGTTCGGGTCAGGTCAGGTCAGGTCACAAGGTCACCAAAACTGACACCACCTCTAAAAAAGTTCAAAGCTCTCTCAAAGGCACAGCTTTTATCCGATCGATGTAAAATTTACAGTACTTGAAGATGTCACCCAGCTCTACAAAATGGCTATCTCGGATTTTTTATAAATGTGACCTAAGGTCAGGTTAGGTCATCGCTGCTCCCCATTATAAGTCAATGGGAGAATCGAAAAGTAGTTGTTTTTCAGCTAAATCGGGCGTGATTGTTCCTATATTTCGTTATTGAAGTGTCTTGGGTCAGCAAATCACAGCCCATGTGAAACCATTTGCTTGTGACCTCGCTGAGGTCACGCTAGGTCATCTCCCTGGTCACCAGAGGTCACCAGCGGTTTTTCTGCACTTACTTGTTATTGAATAGAGATAGAGACTCCATTCGACGTTTATCGTGTTTGTCTCGTCAATGCGGATCGAATGATATGCAGCATGACCTATTTCGGTAAGGTCATGACCTTGACCTGAGGTCAAATTTTCAAAATGACCTTTCGAGGTCAAACTATATATCATTCGACGCGTCTCGACGAGCCAAGCACGATGGTGCATGAATCGTTTCTCTATTTTCTCGTGAATGCATGCTATAGTTAAAAACATTTTCAACGAAATTTGCCAAGTTGACCTTGCATGACCTCTGTAGGCCAAACCGTTGAGCTGAGGTCAAATCTGACGAACCTTGGCGAAAGAGCTTGAAAAGAGCTATCGATTGCTTTTTTCCGCGGCTCTCTAGCTCTTCTAGTTTCCGAGCTACAGCGGAATATGTCCGGCAACACCGAAAACACTGAAATTTGACCTATGATGACCTCTAGCGACCTCAATATTGCCCTTAGCGAAAAAATGACCGAAATACTTTCGAACGTACTTGTTATGGGCTTTCGTTTGCTTTTTTCCGCGTCTTCCTAGCCCTCTTCGTTTTCGAGTTAGACGGGGGGGGTCATTTTGGCCCCCCCCCCACCAGGGCGAAGGTGGCTCAGACCCACACCAGGGCGCGGGTTAAATGCGCCGGAGTTCTGATGCCACGCAAGTTACCAGGAAAACATCAGTTTCAGAGACGGCTAAGAAGTTTATCCGGTAAACGTTACATAACAATCCAAGAAACAAATTTCTGGTCTCTGCAGGCCACAGTTCCTCGACTAACTGGTTTTGGGCCTCGGAAAATCCCAGCAGACGGCTTTGTATAAAGGCATGAAGCCTCCGGTGAGCCTAATTCTATCGAGTGTCATCGGTGTGTACACTGTACAGTGAAACAACACTAAGGTCAGTCTGTGACATAGGTGTATGGTGTGCCATGTGCCTCAAACGCTTTTCGTAAAATGCATGATCTTACATTATAATGACAGAAAAATATGCATGGGAGATATCACTGTTTAACAAACATCGTACTTTCCTCAAATACCTATCAATTCTGCCAACTTAATGTAGTTTATAAATAAAAAGATTTAATAACTGAAAACACTTCGCAAATAACCTTTCTAACGCATCTTCTTTGTTTTCAGACTCCATCATGAAGACCGCCGTCGTTCTCGCCTGCCTGCTGGTGGTCGTCACTGCCAGGCCCCAGTTTGGATTGGGCACTGGTTTCAGTAATGCTGGCTCTTTCCAGTCGCAGCAGACCGGCTTTCTGGGCAGCGCAGGACGGCAGACCAGTTTCGCCAGCTCTGGGGTAAGACGGACAGGGGAGCGAATAAGTTTGGTCCGAGATACATATATATTTACCATCTTTATTATGCATATTATGGTATATGTGTGTCCGGGTTGCTGTGGTTAACTACAGACTCAGGGGAGGAGCTGTAACTACTCTGTAACTACAGAGTCAGGGGAGTACTGTAGAGTCAGGGGAGGAGCAAACGTCGGAGCTCATCTTTTACCGATGTATAGAAAACACCTTTATGTGGAAACGGTAGTTTATCGTAAATTGCGCCCGCTGGGAAACAGGGAAAAAAACAAGTAGGTTTATATTTTGGCTGAATGTTTTCGGTCAGAAACACAGGTTAACCCGCGCCCTGCTGGGGGGTGTTTGAACACCCCCCTTGTGGTTTTTCGCGAATATCTCAAAAACGGCGGCGCGGAGCGCCGCCGTTTTTGGTACACCTTATCATACATCAATTCTACATATGTTGTGAAAATTTCAGACCAAGGTCATTCAAGGTCAGGTCACCAGGTCACTTGAAGTGACCTCACCTCATAAAAAGTTTCAATGTCTGTCATAGCTACACCGAATGACCGATCGCTTTGAAACTTTCAGCGATTGCTAAGAGCAATAGCATGTACAAAATGTATATCTCAGAATTTTGATATCGATGACCTAAGGTCAGGTCAATTTTGCGACCTCCCCATTATAAGTCAATGGGAGAAAATTGAAATGCGCCTCTTTTGGATGAAAGACATTATAAACACTCCCAAACACCGAATTACAAGTGGTTTAGACACACTGAACATGAAAATGGTGTCCGTGACCCTTGTTTATGCCCTGAGGTCATCTTAGGTCACGAATGGTATCTAACAGTTTTTCGCAAATAACTTTTGATAGAGGCATGCTAGAGCGATGAAAACGCCTTAGATGTGTTCAGCTCGACGATACGGATCGACTGATATGCAACATGACCCTTTCCGGTCAGGTCATGACCTTGACCTGAGGTCAAATTTTCAAGTTGACCTTTCAAGGTCAAGTTATAGTTCATTCGATGCGTCTTCACGAGAGGAACACAATGCCGGTAAAAGTAAGCTCGTACAAGGCTTGGGTCAAAAGTTATTGCAGAAAAACTGTTTCCGAAAAAATCGGCTATTTCTGCAGTTTTTGCCCCCTGCAGGCAAAACCATTGACGTTAGGTCAAATCTGAGAGAATTATCCAGAAAGGGCGTTAATAGGGCTATCGAATGCGCTTTTCCGCGGCGCTGTAGCTCTATTGGTTCCCGAGTTATGCGTTGGCTTCTTGGAAATTTTCGACATTCGACCTGGAAATCGGCGAAATTTTACCTTCAATGACCTCTGGTGACCTGACCTTTGACCTGACCAAAAAATTGACCGAAGTGATTTCGTCATAATTTTTTACGTTCTTTCGAACGCCGCCTTCCGCGTATCGCTACGTGTCCCAGGAGCCGAGTTACAAGGGGGGTGTTCAAACACCCCCCCCCCAGCAGGGCGTGGAAATCCAGGACCCCCAGCCGGGCGCGGGTTAATATAGTGATATCGCTATAATATCAGCACAACAGCCCAAGATTCAATAAGATAGTATTTAATAACAGGGGCGCGGGAACTACTTTCCGACTGGGGGGGCACACCATAATAGAGATTAACCTAGGGTACCCCCAAATCTAGTTTTCTCACCGGTTTTAGGCCACTTATTTTTCACCCCTCGGCTTTTTCAACAAAAAAAGAAAACATTTGCAAAAAAGTGTGGTATTCCGTCTCAAAGCTGTGGGGGCACCGCCCCCACGGCCCCAGAGTTGGGGGGGGGGGGGGCAAGCTGCCCCCACTGCCCCCCCGGCTCCCGCGCCTATGTTTAATAATATTCAAAATACCTCTAAGTGCCGTATAATTTCTTTCCAAGTGCCACAGGTCTTTCAGAGGCACTTAGGAGGTAGGTTGTACTGATCTTTGGCTTATCGGTCTAAGAATATATCACCTGATATCATCATCCTCATCCTCATCATGTACTGCGAACAAAACAAGTCTATGCAGGGAGGTGCAAAAGCACTCGGTGCTTACATCGAGGCACCACTCCCGTCACCTATACCAGTGATGTCATTTTCCAAAAAATGTCTGACCGATACCGACCGAAACCAAAATTTGGGAAAAAATTTCCGACCGAATACCGACCGATAAATCCCAAGCCAAAATTTGACCGAAATTTGACCGAAATTCCATTTGCTATTACTCTACCCCAAAATTAAAATATTTGGTAAATTCTGATGGAAAATAATGGGAAATGGCATTTCAGTCCAAGTTCAGTCAATTCTTAGCCACTGCAAAATACATTTTGTGGTAGAAGTTACATCGCTGAGGGTAGCAACACATGGACCTCACTCCTCAGCATTTCACAGCTTTGGTTAATTAGAATTGTCAAGAATCTACTGTGGTCTATGTAAGGAAGAATGCTCATTCATGTTGCAAAAGCACGATCAATTAGTAAGTCAAATGGTTGGTAAAAGGTACCTATGTTCATGACAACATTCCCTAGGAGAAAAGGCGGAATCAACACACCAAAAAACACATCAAAACTGCTTGGAAACTTGCCTTGAGTCTTGAGATGTGGTCTGAGATACTCTACAAAGAATTTGACACTGAAAATCCAGCTGAAAAGGCAGGTATTACAGGGCCTCGGCTAACATGTTAACTGGTGGGCCAAATGGCCCACCAGTGACCCGAAATGGCCCACCAGCCTCCAAGATTTGGCCAACCAGTAATTTTCCGAAAAATAATCTAAGTTTTCACATTTTCACATTTCAAATTGAATTAGCAGATCTTATCGTACATTTTCAGGCTGTTAAGTACCCATCGGTGAAACATATTCTTGTGAAAAACTTCAACCTATTGTTTGCAATATCCCCTTTGGGTAAAAAGTGGACTATAGTACCCGCAACTTAAAAAAAATCCACCACCTACGTCTGTGCTGTATGATTTTTACTTTGATTTCGACAGACAAACGGACGTCCAACGGAAACAAACGGACATCACCGGACCCTGACAGTTCTCGTCCGTTTCTCGTCCGTTGGTCCGATCCGGTGAAGTGTGACCGAGGCTTGAAATTTTATGCAATAATCGTGATAGACGTCTGCCTCTGTCAATTACAGATAGTGTCGGCGGCTTCCAACCAATCGAGGTCTGCGAGAGTTCTTGCAAGCTTTCCGATCGATCGAGTGGTTGCAGTCACATAAGCATCTGCCGCAGACCAGTTGGTTACAAGAAAAACTACGAATAAAGAACAGACCAGTTCAGACGGTCGGGGATAAGCCTGCGAGCGATCTCAGAGTAGACGGCTCGCCGATAGACACGATATAAGCCAGAGTCAAACTAGAGGTAGTTTCGGCGACTTCCAGCCGATTGAAGTCTGCAAGCGATATTATGCGTCTTCACGACCGGTATGATGCTTCCAGTCACACATTTGACCAGTCGGACGAATTTCGAACCGTTCACAGTCAGCGTTCCAAAAATTTCTGATTTGGGCTGAAGATGACACTCAAGAATAAGAATGGATAATTTTCCACTCTCACATTTTGGGTGGCTAGAATTTTCCACTCATACACCCAAGAGAAATCTGAAGTTTGGGACACTGTTCACCAGAAGTGTACATAACTTTTTTAAAAAATATTAGGGTTGCGCAGTGCGCTTGGGCTTTTGAGTCGATTCTTTTCCATGCGAATCATTTTCAGAGATGTTGGGGTTGCTGCTATAACCCCCTTTTGGGGTTCCTGCTACAACCCACTTTATATATAAAGTTGCACTCGTGCTGCTCACAATTCCTCCCGATCCACCCGACAACGCCCGATTCCGTCCGACCGCTTCCGAATCTCCGTTATAGTCGGCGAGCGATCCACTCAGGGCTCGCTGATTTTTAACATCCGACCGGCCGTAAGTTATCGTCCAAAGTTTTGTAATCTGCGTCAATATTTTGTGCATACTTTGCGATTTCATGTGCACCGCCGGAGTACCACCACTGAGAGAGTTGTGGGTCCCTTATACTCTCTCCTCTCTGAAGAGTCGGGGGGGGGGGGGTCGAGCCCCGTTTTTTCTAATTTTTTTTAATGCCATCCTGACGTTTTTTGCAGAATAAAGTGGCCGAAATCTGGGGAGCAATCGAAAATTGGGGGGGGGGGGGGCTATGGCTACGAGGGTCAGTCCATGTCGCTGCCCAAGTGGCCCACCAGTCAAAATTCCTTAGCCGAGGCCCTGAGGTATTAGGTAGCTCTGAGCTTGAATTTTGTCCCAAAAATGAAATGAAAATTCATTAAACGGGCACTTTGTCTTATCTCTTGTTTTTTTATCTTTACAAGAAAACAAAATATGCAGACAAAATTAGTACGAAGTGGCGCAAAGGTAATAGAAGAACCAAGGATTGACTTTTAAGATTCTCTCTTCCCTAACGAAAGGATGTATGATGATGACGTAATATTTACTTATATGCAATTTTGGTCGAATTATTGGAGGGAAATTAATTTTCATGTAGTGAATTAAACTCACAATGTTGATTTCATTAGAATTAAATATTGTGTTGGATCAATTACTTCAAAAAAATAATTCACGAGGCAGCATGTAACAATCCAAAACTTTTTTTGCAGCAACTTAATCAGCTGGTTTAAGGTCTCTGTTATGGCGCATCTGTTTCGAAATCCTTCCTTGTGTTTGGAATGTGGAAGATTCCAGAAATTGGACATGGGCCGAATCTGTAGTTTTTGTCGAGATTCCTATGTTTTTATGTTGTGGTCATCTAGATTTCAAACATTTGGTTGGTACAGGGACCCGCAGTTGCTTCTGTACACACTAGTATTTCAGCGTATTCTTGGCCTGTGACACCGTTGTAGGCGAATTGGGAAATGATTGTGTGCTTATTAAAACCACCATATGTAGGGCTTTAAACTGATGTGCTGCTCTCCTAATTCAGTTATCTTTTTATGGCTATATCAGCAAAACATTGTTTTCAGCGCTTTTTCCTGCCCCATTCC